CCATCTCTCTCCCTGGGTGCCTGTGGCACGATGCCCTTTCAATTTGCCTCCGTTCAGATTTGCGACGGGCATCGGATCGCCTGCCCCCAACGTTTTTTGCCACGACCATCTGTTTGTGCAGGTGGCCGGATTCAAGGGCCCGCCGGCTGACTCAGCTCTTGGTTAGAACGGTGCGGTCAGAAAATAGCGGCCATTGTGATTGTCGATATTGTTTATCCTGGGCTTTTCTCCAACGAACAGTAAAATTGTGTTTAGAGTGCAATTATCTGCCATTGTTGCGGGCAATCAGGACACTTTTCTCAACCCAGCAAATTTGTTGGCGGAGGGGGTGTTAACGGTCACATGGATGTTGTCACACAAGCTGGGGAAGGACCTATTGGCTAGCGCTCGTGTCGCATGGTAACCCCTTCCAGCCTCGCATCGTGCCTGTACCATTTTGTGTAAGCAAGCAAATGTATTTTGAATGTTTACAGCTTTAAAACTTGGCTGGATGTATTTTCTGGTTCTTTGACTCTCCTGGGAAGAAAATAATTGAAAGAGAGTGTAATAAGTTAATGAATGAAGAGCTTTTGGCTGAGTTGAAAAAATAGCAGCAGTGCTTCCACAGTTTAACTGAGTTTTGGAGGGGGGAAATATGTATTTAAACAGAACACTCCCTCTCTTTTGGAACCTAATGCACAGTTGGCTTGTTGGGTTACAGAGAAGAGCTTAACGCACAGTTTGATAGTGTGGCCTGAGGAAAGTAAGAAGGGATGGTTTGTGTATATAAAGTGTTGATGAGTTGGTTTTATTTGCTCTTGTCGATGGAAGACAGGTGGTGGAAAGGATGGGCAAGGTCTTTGGAGGAAATAGGGGATTTGTGGGTGGAACTTGAATAAAGCAAGAGAGGAGACGCCAAAAGAAGGATGCTGAAATCTGGGAACCATCTGGGGCAACAAAGGAACTTGAATGGATTTGTGTTTTATTTTTGTAGAACAGCAACTTTTTCAGTGACCAAAGTTTGTGGGCACGGACTCCCTGGGGAAACTGGGTTTGCTGATTAGACTTCTGCTTTAACAGCAGAAGTGAAAGTTCACCAAGAGCCTTGCCCCAAAGTTGTTTCCTCTGAAACGAAGTGGCTTCTGCCGCCTCTAATGGATCCCTTCCATGAAAACGTTGTGTCATTATTTGCTGGGAATTATTGGCGCTCCCAGTGCCAGTCCTCTGCTCATTCTGCAAAGTTGCAAGAGATAAACCAATTCCAAGTAAAACACTTGGGGTACCGAGTTGGATAGCTCAGTGGTTTAAGGCAGAAGCTGGGAGTTCAATTCCCCCCTGTGGCTTCTTGACCAGGGGCTGGACTTGATGACCCCATAGGGTCCCTTCCAGTTCTGCAGTTCTAAGAAATAGCATGAGCCAGTCCTTTGCACACAGCCAAAAAAGGCACTTAGAAAGAGATGGGGAATCTCTTTTTTTCCCCCCTCCCACCAAATTCCAACTCATGGGGAATCTTTCCCATGAACTGAGACGGAAACAAAAGTTTCTGCCAGAAAAAAAATTAGTTACCATGCCAAGATTTGGGGTGTCGTAGTCTAAATAAGTAACTTTTCCAATTTGTGCCAGGCTACTGTGTCTGCTGTTAACTCTGTTCTCATTTCCTTTTTTTCCTCTCTAATCAGGGTAAATAAAACCCAGCAGCCTTGTCTCCAGAGACATTTTGAAGCATGGAAAATGGGCCAAGAATTGGAACCAGACATAAGCAAACCCAAACCACAGACAGGTGGGCGGGAGGGACAGGACATACCAGCTGGGACAAAGAGGGCTGGCCCCCAGATGTTGTCCTTCTGGACAGGAGGGGAGGGAGGGATCCTGGTTCCACTCAAGGAAAGGAGCTAGTCTGCTTCCTCAGCCCCCCGAATTTATTGAAGTACAATGGCCGTGGGGAAAGGCCAGAGGCCGGCCAGCATTGCCAGTTGGCGTGGAAAGGCATAAACCCAGAGACATTTGGCGGAGCTTCGAAGTAACTGATCACAGGCCATATTGTGGCTGTTAAGTGCCATCAGGTTCACATCCGACGTACGACAATCCTAGCAGGGTGTATTAAGATATTTAAGGGACAGTTTGACCAGTGCTGCCTCCGAACGAGTTTCTGTGGCTGAGCAGGGATTCGAACGCAGGACTCCAGAATCCTCGCCTGTCACTCTGTCCACTTGTTCTTCTACAAGTCATGTAATTAACTGCCGTTTGCTACTTTTTTTGGGGGGGGTCAGGCGAATCCACCCCGAAAGCAATGCGACAAGTAGTTACAAGATTATTTCAGATGTCATTCCGAGAATCCCTGACCAGCGGAGATTTAAAAAAAAAAACAGCACGAGGGTCAAATATTTGCCATTTTTGTCCCAGACAAACATATTTTCTGCAAAGAACTGCTGGAAAACTCAGGGGTTTTGAGGTGTCCGGCTGGAGAGCCAGAGGCTAAGAGTTCGATTCCCCCACTGGGCCATCTTGACAGGGGCCTGGGTTCGAGGATCCGTAGGTGCCCTTCCAGCTGTGCAGTTCTCAGGTGGTGGTGATGACTGAGGCAATGTATGTGAAGTGCGGCCACTTGAAAGTGCTTATAGACGCTTGTTCTCGCTTGAAACGGAGAGCGACGGTGAGGAGGGCTTATGAATCTTAGGAACCGAGGTTGCTGGAGGTGACACCCCGGTTCATCCTGGAAACCAGCAAACTTTGGTCTCCTGAATCAGCCGGCAACGAAGCCTCCCAGTGCAAAGAATTGCCGTATTTATATCGGTCCTCCTGACAGAATCCGAAGGATCTACGTTGCCTTCGTGATGAAAGGCTCCCGATAATTGCCTCTTTCTCCACCCACGAGTCGAGTTTGTCAACCTTCCCCTTTTAAAGCCAGCTTCTAAGCTAGCGGAGACTGCAGAAAGAGTTCTGGAGAAGGTCCATTTTTTTGACCCGGCGTCTCCCAGATGCTCACCCTGCTGGGGATTATGGGGACTGTAGTCCCCCCCACCCTTACCCCCAAGTTGGCATTCTCAAGCTGTGATTCCAGAGAAGGGCCAGGAGGCAAATGTCAAGAAGAACAAGGAATGGGAAATAAGAACCATCAGTCCATAAAGTTCAACTTCTTTGAATGACAAATATAGTGGGACTGAAGGGCGGACATTCCAGTTTCTCTCTCAGGACAGGGTGAAGGAGGGACTTTATGTCAATAAAGCCCTAAGTGGCATGGGCACGAGCTATCTCATATCCCTCCATGAGCCTGCTCAACTCTTAAGATGATCAGGGGAGGCATTTCTCTTGGTCCCATCATCCTCACAGTGCACTTGGTGGGGTCACGGGACAGCACCTTCTCTGTGGCCGCTCCCAGAGACTCTGGAACTCCCTGCCACTGGAGGCCAGCCTTGCCCCATCTCGGCTGTCCTTCCATAAACAGGCAAAGACTTTTCTCTTCCGTCAAGGCTTTCCCTTAATGACGGGCTGCCTGAGTGGGGGGGCGTTAGATGGATTGTACCTTCCGATGTGCTTGGGGTATTGTTTTTATTGACTGCCTTTTAGCAAGGTATTTGTTTCATCCCTTTTAGCATTTGTATACTTATTGTCTTTAGCGTCCAATATGGTCTTTTAATTATGTAAGCCCTTGTGGGTCCTTTTTCAGGAGAAAGACGTGGTGAAAATATATATTTTAAATTAATGAAATAAATATAATCAACTAGCGGGGAAGGTTGGAGAAGCTTTTGCCTGGAGCGCGCTGGCGTGCTGGGGAAATCTGTGAGAATATTTTCGGATTCCTTCTGGCAGGGATTGTTGTGCATTTCCCTGCCATTAATTTGAAACAGGACAGGATGCGTGTGAAGGCTGCTACAGGTTACTCTTGAGGAGTCCCCAGTGTACAGAATAAGTGTGGGTGTAGAAGTAGGTTTTGGATTTACTCCAGGGCTCCTATTAGAGGCAGAAAGGAATCCTCCTCTTCTGTTCCAGCCCTCTTTACTACTGTTTGTGGATGGCTTTTGTAGTGGCAGTGGAAAGCAAATGTGCTCCAATGGTTGGTGATTGGGGTCACAGTTAAGGGCTTGTGGGTGTTTGCTCTCCCCTTCCTTCCCCTACGATTTTGCTACACATTCATTCTTCCTATTCTGTGGTTCGTTCTCTGACTGTCTCCCCAATAACCTTCCCAGTATGTAAAATGGAATGACCAGAAGATTTATCATAGGGCCAAGGGAAACAATGCCCCTCTGTAGAGCAGTGGTTCCCAATCTTGGGTCTCCAGATATTCTTGGACTACAACTCCCAGAAGCCCATGCCAGCACATAAGTGATGAGGGTGCCTGAGAGTTGCAGTCCTAGAGTGTCTGGAGACATTCAAGGTTGGAAGCCCTACACTAGAGGGTCTTTGAATATAGTGGTTGGGGATGAACGGCAATTTGTTAATGAGCAGCAACGTACTGTCATGATTGGAACCATCACACTTATGCAGGCATAAATCCCTAATAGGATTCTGGCTGTTGTTTTGTTTAATCTCTTGTCGATTTAAATATGGAAATATTTTCAAGGTGCAATATCAGAAACAGCCACTAGAAGGAACCAGAGAGTATTTTCCTGTACTTTTGTGATAGGATGCCAGTAACCTTGAGGATTTGAAGTAGAACATAATGTGTTGATAATGTCCAGTGAAACAAATTGCTTTCAATAATGAAAGCAACTTGTCTGATGTAAAATAGAAAGTAACTCAAAAGGAGTTCCTTTAAAAATATGTTCTAAGCTCTGCTATTGGGGCGGGATCCACTGGGCGGCCTCAAGTGATTGTCTATCAACTTCTTTTCTCCATCCCTCAACTGGGAACACGAAAGGTTCCTCAATGAGTTATTGTGGAGATTCCTGATCAAAGGGCACGCACCGAGAGCGAGTCGAAAACTGCAGCAGAAATGCCCATTACCATTACTATTTAAAATACGATCATGATTGGTAATTGCTCGTTGCTCCTCTCAACTCATGCCGGCTTTTGCTTCTCAGGTTTGAATCACAGCGCATCCTTCTCCTGTGAAGCTCACAATGCGAAAGGTGTGAGCACGTCTCGAACGGCGGTGGTGAAAGGTGAGACACAGTTGTCGAGGGGGTTCTCCTGGGCGAAGCAGGATCCGCAGTGGGAAAGGGGAAACTGTGGTGATGATTTTAAACTAGTCTTTATATTGAAGGTGTAAGTTTTAAAGTATGCAAATCCTTTAAGAGATCAATATTTTAGAGTTTAGTCTTTTCTTGGGTGATGTCACTTTACTGACATGGGTGGGTGGCTTCCATGTGGATTTCCTGGGAATTGAACCACTGCCGATTAGGAAGGGATTCTCACCCCAAGAAAGAAAAAGAGCAAAACTCCTCCTCTTTTTCCTCCCTCCCTCCTCCTGCTCTGATCCTGTCCTTACTATCAGCTCTCCTTAGCTGGAGCCTTTTTTTTAAAAGTACAGTTAAATGCAGGGCATGTTTCATTTAATATTTACTTTGGCCTTAAAGCCTATGCTATGTACTTCAACTTGTGCTGGTCCAAATGCCTTTTTCATGAGTCAAAAAGCTCCCTGCAGATAGAAAACTAGCATGGCAGGAAGGAGGTTAACACGACATGCTAGCTTTCTACAGGCAGGGATTTGCTGATATATGTTTAGAAACATAATCTCGGTGTGTCCATGAGCATTTCCATCAGTGGATTGTTCTTGGAGTCTTTTGGATCGTAGGAATGAGAAGCGAACCCATGTGGGACTGACAAAAGGGATCCTGAAATGAGTTTTATCTGGTGTAACTTTTTGCAGACTGCAGTGCATAAAAGCATACATCAAAGCTGCTGGTTCGGCCAACGGCTGAACAAGTGTCCTTGTTTCTGCTATTTCTGCTGCTCTGTTAAACACCCTCATTTCCCCCCTTCATCATCTTGCTCTTGTGGAATCTGACCCCTCGTGGTGGCGGTGTCTCTGCAGTGATACCTGGACGGCCCCGTGAATTGTCTCTGGTGGATCACCACGAGCGCAGCTTGGAAGTCGCATGGGAACCCGGAGCTAGCGGTGCCTACGCTCTAGAGTTCTGCACCATCCAGGTAAAGAGGGTCAGGCGGCTGACAGCGATAGAAACTGGAGATTTGAGGAACATAAGCCAGTTTGCGGATGATGCCTGCAGCTGCTTTGGAGGGAGATCTGTCACTTTCATTCCTGCCTTGGCGAGGGGACTGTTTTATTTTTAGGAATGACTTCCTGTCCAACTTTTTTGCTTCCCTCGGATATCCGCCCCCCCCACTTCCCCCCCAGCCGTTCGCCCAGTGCATGAAATGTGACATCTCTCTCCAGGATGGGGAAATGAAAAAGCCTGAGCAAGGGATAAACAGAAAAACGTGAAACAAAACTGATAGCAGAGGGGAATTTCCAGCGTGTGCTCATTCCTGCCTGTTTTTATACTTCAGAGTTCCTCTCTCTCTCTCTCTCTCCTCTGTGTGCGTGTGTGTGTGTGTGTGTGTGTTGTGTGTGTGTGTGTGTGCGTACACACCACTCACCCTACACTGGCTGGAGGATTCTGGAGAGTACCGTTTTGTTTCGTTCGTTTAAAAGGAAACTTCTAAGCACCCTTCTTATTGATGCAGGAGACCCAGGCAATATGAATCGATTTCTTTTCAAATTTCCAAAAAAATTAAGGTTCAGGTCACGTGGTATTTAAACTGGTGGCCGTGTTCACATGCACGGAATGGAAACTGTCATCTGCCCTCTGTCCTTCCCATTCCGCTTCTTCCCAGGCGGTCCCCTCTGATGAAGACCTCAGCACGGTTTCCGAGAGGGCGCTCTACAACCAGAATGTCCGCGTGCCCCCCTTCCGCCACACTCTGACCGGCTTGACCCCCTTCACCACCTACCACGTCCGCGTGTCTTGCCGGTCCCGGGAGGGTAACTCTCCGTGGACCCATTGGGTAGCCATGGAAACGATGGAAGGAGGTGAGCACAAAACAGGGTGGTTTGCAGGAAGAATGTGGAGGAGAAAGGTTTGGGAGCTGAGCCTCCTATGGAGTCCGCCTGTCCCGGAAAGCAATACCGGCCTACGGTGGCCCCTGTGTCTCCTTGTTTCGACCATCAAATGGCAATTTGGGTTGACGGGTTGACAGCATCCCGTTCTCCGGGTGGGACCGAGGGCCGCTTGGCTGGTAGCCGGAGGCTTACAGTCCTTAATTTCCATCTTTATTTCTTAATTTTAAAAATATAATGCACGGCTTTGATCAAAGAGTGCGCCCTGTCGTGCCCTTACGGATTCTAGGATGGATTCTGCAGGATGCTAATTTGATCCACAAATGATAATTCATATGTAGTAGGACTGTGATAACCACAGGGGGGAATCGCTTCCACATCTTCTGTGGATGCTGAAAAACGTGGAAATAGCAAGCGCTATATATTGCATGGCCTCTGCCTCCCTCTAGTGACCCATTTTGGTAAAGGCACCCTGGAAATAGGTGTAAATATGTATTTCTGGGGTTTTTTATTTTGTATTTTCCGACAGTGGATAAGAGAATCAGTGGATACTGATCCTGCAGAGAGGGGGTTCTACTGTAGCTCTTTTCCAAAGTGTCCAAACAGATTCTCATGTTGTAGTGCTGCACCCATGCCAACAACCCTGTCAGGTAGACCAGTTTTTATCCCAAGCGATTCAGAGCTGAAGTAAGATCTGGACTAAGGATGCTGCTGAGCTCCTGCTCTTAACAGCTACACTCTGACCTCTCTGTGGAGGGCCAGCAGGATTTCTCCCTTAAAAGCATCCATTCCTGAGATGAGAGGCAGTTGCATCGTGGGAAATGGTCCCCTAACTTCTCTATCTGGAGCTCGGAGGACCGTGTGTTCCCATGGTAACGTGTGATTTCTGTGGCAGTCCCTACAGGTGCGCCAGAGAACATCATGGCCACTCAAAATGGCACTTGCACCATCATCCAGTGGGACGAACCACGAGGAGACATCAACGGGATCATCCGTGGATACAAGCTGGTTTGCCAAAGTGGCGACTCCCCAGAGGTGGGTGATTCTTGTTCAGGAGGGGGTCTGTTGGTCCAGGGTCTTCTCCCATCACCCGGCTGACCCTCTCTCTTGCTTTCTTTGTCACCTTCTTCCGCCAGGTGGTTGTGGACGTGGGGTTGACCAACGAGACTGTCTTGATGCTGAACTCGACAGACCGGAATCTGACCGTGCGAGTCGCAGCCTATACCGGCGCAGGCGATGGGCCGTGGAGCAGGGCCATCATGATTTCTTCCACGGGGCCTGGTAAGGACGAGAAGAGATTTTGGGAGGAATTAAAAGTGTGCAGTTCCTCCACCCATCCACCAACCCTAAAAAGGGTTCTATTTTGTCCTGGGAAAGCTGTTAAGGACAACTTTAATTCCCCCCAAAATCACTGAAGCAGGGATGATTTTACACCAGCCTTATGTGGCCCTAGCTTGATGCTACTGAATTTCAGCCAGTAGGTCATGTTGGGGCAGAGATCATCCTTGGAGAGTGTGAAACTATGGGATGCAACACCACGGAAGTGCTGCGGGAGTTTTGGGGGGCCTGGGAAACAGACGGTCATAAAAGGTTCAAAATTAAGGTGAAGGAACACGAACTTCCAACCAGCTCAGGACCTGTAAAACCTAGGAGCGTCTTTTGGCTTGGAAACCTGATCACAGAGATTAAAAGGTACTTTTTAGAAAAAAAGAAGGCAAAAGTTTTGGAGCAAAAGGGACAGGACCCCTTTAAGGTCTATTGAAAATAAATCCATTTTGGGAAGTAAATATTCCTGTGCAGCTTTCTAAGAAAGCTTGTTGAGGGTTGGAAGGTGTCATTTTGCTGCCAAATTTATAGTTTGTTTGTTTTTAAAAAAATGGTTATAATCATTTCCTTTCTTCGTGGTCCTAACTCTTTAGAGGCCTTTCCAAAAGCAGCTTTTGATCTCTTGAGTTGTTGTTGTTGTGATGGTTGATGCTGTTGTGTTCCACCCCTCACTTCCTCTCTTCCATAAATCATGTTCTGGCCATTTTTAAGCTCAGGTCTGGTTCTGATATAGTAAGGTCCCCTGTTTTCAATTTTTTTTTTAACTTGTTGTGGCTTTGCAGTCTTGGCAAGTCACGGAGACGAACGCCAGTTCTAAAACAGAACTCCTGTCTTCTGATTTTGATTCTTATTGGTGAGCCCTGAATCTGGTTGGGTTCTAACTGAGGCCCTATTTATCAAAAGCTGGCCCGTATTGGATTCAGGTTGTCAGCCATGTAGGAATAATTAATTTACTGGTGTTTCTCTTGCAGGTGAAAAACTACCTGAACCCCAGCAAGGTGAGAGTCAAAGTATGTGAAATCTATGCAACGAACACCAGAAAATGGCTGGGACGTTGGGATGGTCACTCCTTAACCCTTTCCTCTCTTCTCTGCAGTAGGAGGCCACCACCTTGCCTTTTCCTGGCACTGGTGGTATGTGGTGGCAGCGGTGGGGATTGTCGTTGCTGCCATTATCTATATCACCATCTTCCTAGCACGGATGAGGAAGAAGGAAACCCGCTACGGGTAAGCGGAGCGATGGGCCCTGGGAAAGACGATCCATGAGAGGGTGCCTTCTCCAGGTGAAACAGCATGGCCAGTCGATTGGGCAGGTCTGAATCCGGTCCTTCTTGCATCTCATCCTCTCTTTCTGTACACCCTCCAGGGAGGCATTTGAACCGAGCATGGAGCAAGGAGAGCTGGTGGTTCATTACCGGGTCCGCAAATCCTACAGCCGTCGTACCACCGAAGCCACGTGTGAGTTTCAAAGAAAAAATGGGTCCCTTGCCCCCAGTTTTCCGGCACCCGTTCAGCGGATGGGGGCAATCCTACTTTGAACACTTGTTTTGTATGAGTGGACAGTTGTGCATGGTGTAAGGTCATTATTTGGGGGTTCCTTTCTCTTGGGTCTCAGTATCATCTCCTCTCATAGCAGAATCCAGGCGGTGGGTGTTAATGTCTCTGTGGCCAATCTGAGCCTTCTCAGAGAAGGGCCGGGGATGGGAATCAGCATGCTTGAGGGAAACTTTGGGACTTGCTCAAGTGTAATAGTAGTGGTTTAAGTCTCTGGCTGCGGAGCCAGAGGTTGGGGGTTTGATTCCCCCACTGGGCCCTCCTGGGAGAGGAGCCAGCCTGGGTGGCCTTGGGCCAGCTTCTACCTGCAATCCCAGGATTTCTCCCCCAGAAAGAGGGAAGGGTCAACCCCTTCTGAGTCTTCTCTACCTGGAAAACTCAAGGGTTAGGGTCGCCATAAGTCAGAATGGACTTGACGGCACATCATAATGATTATTAACCATCAAAAAACAAAACAAAACAAAACACTGAACAATGAAGGGGTGTAGAAACCACCCTCAGCCATCTGTCTGCTGTAGTCAGCAGCCATGAAACTGCGGAGTAAAATGCAGTATCTTGAAAGAAGCCCAAGATGGAGTTAGAAGATGGGGATTCTGTCTGTCTGTCTGTCAGAACCAGTGAGAATGGCAGCAGCAATGGAATATTTCAGTATACACATATATACATGTGTACATTTTTCTGTTTGTATATGCATATATACACTGAGCAGTGTTTCTACTTATGTGAATGTATTGTACACACACACACACACACACACACACACAGAGGGAATATATCTACACATGTTACACAATCTCTCTCCCTCTCCCAGAACACTGTAGAAATCCTGGCTTGGGTTCCCAGTTTAAGTCCGTGTTTAGAACCTTGTAAATTTTTTTACTTTTGTAGGAATTCAGGAGATGTATGAAATTTTCTCCACCGCACGGGAGTGTTCATAAACAGCAGGGATCTCTGTCAGCCCCCCAATTCCATTTAAAGTCAAATTGTCGTCTTTGAGGCGAGCGAGTGGCAGATGGGGCTGAAGGACCAGGAGTCTGTTCAGCCGCGGGACCAGTAGAAAGTCTGCTGTGGTGTGGAAGGCTTCTTTCTCCAGCCTCTCTCCACGGCAAGAAAACCCAAGAGTCGGAAGGATCGGCCGGCCTTGAAAGAGCTTATATGGGGCTCCCGGCCAATCAGAAAACTGGACTGAGATCCATCCTATCAGTAGGAGCAGAAAGGGGGGTGTGGCTCTCAGATAGCCTATCTGGTGAAGCTATCAGGTTCTTTTCCTCCAATGGTCCATCACATAGGGTAATCGTAGTTTGGAAGTTTCGTCTTTCTAAAATAATTATTTCCTGTGACTCATCACAGTGTTGCTAAGATGGATGCATTGCCCTGCCTTAGTAGCAATGTTGACTAACAAAGTGATTCATTATTCTTTTTGTGCTGGCTGTTACTGTTTTGTTGCTTTCTGTTGCGTCCTGGAGGGGAGGGAAACTTGATAAGGGGCTAGCATAAAGCTGGAAAACATCTCAAAATGCCTCTAAAGAGTGCTTTAAAATGTGTTATGGGGTGGTATATAAGCAGCACACTTTGCTTTAAAATGCATTAACATTTACTTCCAAAGGAACCAGAAACAATTACTTGTTCTACCAGTTACCCGTATTTTTCTGTGTATAAGACGGCCCCATTTTTCTAATCCAAAATTAAGAAATCTAAGTGGGACTTAACAAGTGTAAGGGGAAAGAGATCAAAGCAATGCAGGATCGCTTTGATCCCTGCTTTCCCCTCCACTTGTTTTTGTTATCGCCTCAGCTTACTTCTGTGTATAAAAAGAGCCTAAGTTTTAAGTCTAAAGATTTTAGACAAAAGTATAGTCTTATATGCGGAAAAAATACGGTAAGTAACTTTCTTCCTATGTTTTTTGTTACATTTGAGGTATAACTTTGTTATCCCCTTCTTCTCTGAAAAAGTAATTAGTTACAGGTAACTCACTACTTTTGATGGCTGCTAATATCCCAGCTCTCCCCAAATGGCACTTAGAAACCAGATCTTCTGGCTCATTCCTCCACCGTCTCGTGCCCCACATCTGCCTCTATGCCACAAATGGGTTTGGGGACTTTGGACCTTGTTTTGGGTGCCAGCTCCCTAATTTATATATACAACACCCTTTGTCTTCTTATTTTCTGCAGTGAACAGTCTGGGCATTAGTGAGGAATTGAAAGAGAAGCTGAGAGATGTGATGATTGATCGCCACAAGGTGGCACTGGGCAAAACGCTCGGCGAAGGTAGGTTGCCCTAGCAGCTGGAGGTTTTCCCCGATGGCCCTCGCCTGAAGCCAAAGAATTGGCTCCTATTGTGAGGCCTCTGGAAGGAGAATCTGGAGATCCGGTGGCGTCACCTGAAATGGTTAAGGACCTGGCAGACATTGGCAAGTAACACAGACTACAGTGGTGCCTCGCTAGATGATGATAATCCATTCCACTGAAATAGCTGTTTAGCAAAATCATCGTCTAGTGAAAAGCATTTCCCCATTGGAATGCATTGAAACCTGATTAATGCATTCCAATGGGGAAGAATCGTCATTGTCTAGTGAAGATCAGCCATAGGAAAGCCGCTTTGCGAACTGCTGATCAGCTGTTTAAATCGCTGTCTTGCAAAGTGTAGGTCCTGAAAATACCTGTTCGTGGGCGCAGAGGGAGCTGTCAAAATTGTCGTCTAGCGAAAATCGGTTTGCGAAGCAGGGACCAAAGATTGTCCAGCGAAATTCCCCCATAGGAATCACTGTTTTGCGAATCGCTATAGCGATCGCAAAAAGCCAATGTCTAGCGAAAAAACTGTCATGCGGGGTAACTGTCTAGTGAGGCACCACTGTATATTAAACAGCCAGTGTCATGTGCTGTTGTGTGGAATATTTTTGTTTTCTTTTCAGCACGGGATAATCCCAGACCATCCTCACCCACCCGGGTTGATAAAAAAAGCATCCAAGTTAAATATATTCCTTTTTTTCATTTCCTGATTAAACGTCAAGGCTGTTTTGTTTTGTTTTGTTTTTAAACATGGCTATCATAATTAATAACATGTATTATTAAATGGAACTACTCAGAAGTACTTTGGCCCGGCTTTCTTGGAGCAAAACTGCAGAGAGAGCGACGAAGGCCTGTTTTCCTCATTCAGGTCAAAGGCTTGGCAAAGTTTTCTCTCCCATCTTCCTTCTGGAAGGAGGGGAGGAAAAGTTCCCTTCAAGCTCAGCTGGAATTAGTTTGGAAGCATTTGGAAAACAGAGATGGAAAGGTTCTTGGCAAAAATACGTATGTTTCCCCTGGAATATTTCTGCCTTTTTCATGTCTTGTTTTGTATTGTCTTCTCTTGTCTTGTCTCAACTCATCTTTCCTTCCTCCCCCCCGCCCGACTCTGTTTCTCCCTCTGTCAGAGAAACTTTCCCTGTCAAGAAGACAACGGAGGCGAACGAGTAGCACAGCCGGAACACATCCAGAAAGTTTGCCGGGTTGCCTTTAGCAACTTCAGCAGCTGCTGCTTTTCCTGGACATAACTTCTATTTGCTGTAGATTACCATTTTTGCATCCCTCTTTTGCCCTCTACGTTTGGACTCGTAGGGCCAAAAGAGGCCAGGTGAAGCCTAAGGGCTGCCAGTTGCTAACCCTTACTTGAGATGTATAGATTATCCTCTTTCAGGATATGATTACTTTTTAAATATACCCTGAAGAATCTTTTGCACACTGACCTGTCTGCAGCAGAAACCTCGTATGGCCTGCCATAGAACTTAATACACTGTACGACATTGGTCCCCAACCTTGGGTCCCCCCAGATGGTCTTGGACTACAACTCCCAGAAACCTTCACCACCACCTCTGCTGGCCAGGATTTCTGGGAGTTGAAGTCCAAGAACATCTGGAGGCCCAAGGTTGGGGACCACTGCTGTACAAGATTCTGGGCTAAATCTAAGATGCACTCACAGGTTGGATGGGGTACTAAAAAGGCATAGGGTATTCTCTTGATTCTCTGCAGGGATGAGCTTGCTTGTTGTTGTTTAGTCGTTAAGTCATGTCCACCTCCTCGTGACCCCATGGACCAGAGCACACCAGGCCCTCCCATCTTCCACTGCCTCGCAGAGTTGGGTCAAATTCATGTTGGTCGCTTCGATGACCCTGTCCAACCATCTTGTCCTCTGTCGTCCCCTTCTCCTCTTGCCTTCACACTTTCCCAACATCAGGGTCTTTTCCAGGGAGTCTTCTCATGAGATGGCCAAAGTACTGGAGCCTCCACTTCTGGATCTGTCCTTCCTTCCTGAAGCTGAGCTTGCTTGCTTTCCCTTAAATTTCTCTCCCATGCCATTCTTGACAAGCCCCAGATTTCATAGGAACATACAATGAAAGCTGTGGGGTTAAAATATTCCTTTCACCCCTTCCATTCCCACCCCATGATTCCATTTTAAACAAAATAAGATAAAATAAAAGGAGGCAGAGAAACATGGATCAAGATATGAAGCAAGACACAGAACTTTTTAAATACAGAGGAGGGGCAAGATCTGTTCTTGATCTTTCCAGAGTGCAGGACATATAATCATGGGCTCAAGCAATAGAAAGCCAGATTATGGCTGAATATCAGGGAAAACTTCTTAACTGTTAGAGCAGTACGACAATGGAACCCATTACCTCCGCGAGGCAGTGAGCACTCAAACATTGTCAGCCTTCAAAAGGAAATTGGACCACCACCGGTCAGCCTCAAAGGGAGGCGGTGAGCACTCAAACATTGTCAGCGTTCAAAAGGAAATTGGACCACCACCGGTCAGATCTGTTTGATTTGGCTTCCTGCATTGATCAGGGGGTTGGACTTGATGGTCTTATGAGCCTCTTTCCACTCCGTTATTCTATGATTCTTTGATACAGAGCTATCTTTTTCAGAAGCTATGATCCGAAGATGTAAATCTACATTTAGATGTAAATGTAACGATGAGGAGAGAGAAGAAAGCAGTGGTGATGGAAGCAGGCAATTCTGATGAGGCAGAAACCATTTCTAGGATTCTGTGTTTCTCTAAACAACTGAATAATGTGTTTTTCTCCATCAAGTGCACGATAAACAAACAGTAGATGAGGCCTCGTTGTGAAATTGTACTGACTCACTCATGGAATTTGATGGGGGTGGTTCCCCCATGTTTTTCTCCCTGTTTCCTCTGTCTTTTTAAATTATAATTTCTTAACCATATTTTTAAAAAATTCATTAAGATATTAAGACCAGTTTCCCCCTCCAAGACAGAAATAATTGAGTCTAGGGTTGCAGGCTTCCAAACCATTCCTCCTCCTTCACCTTTGAAATATATAAGTTTTTGATTTTTATGTTTTGCCTGGATCCCATGACTGGAGGTGTCCTCCGAATGCCCTACATTTGGAGAAAGCAGCAGCAAAAACAGCTGCCAGACTTTGAGTTATATGCGGAAAGTCTGATCTGCTCCTGAAATGTCAGCCGTTGGCTGAGTTCTGGGAGAGTTTATGTCGCGTGCTGAAGCCCTTACAAGACTCATGTTCTTCTGCCCCGGGAGCAACCGGGGAAAATGGATTTCCCACCTGTCTCCATTTCCTCTCCATCCAGATGCCTGTACACAAGCCAGGGAAAAACACATGTGATTCCCCCCCTCCCCCACCACGATGGAGAGGGACACTCAGATTCATGACCTCTTTTGCCATCTTGCATTGTTCTTCAGGGTTCAAGCCACATTTTCTCCCTCTCCTGACTTGTTACCTACAGAAGAGGATGGAAGTAGACTCTTCCTGCAGCAAAGCGATATAGCGCTACAGTTCTAAGGGTGCCCAACCTAGATGCTTACACTCCCTTATTGCACTGAATGTTTTGATTTCAGAAGCCACGTCGGATAGCCCAGCCCCTGCTATTGATTACTGTGGAACCAGGATTTTGAAAATTCGTGTTCGACTCTCAGGTTTCTTTTAGATTACCAAGGATGCTAGGTATTGTGATCCCCAAAAAAGTAAAGTTTCCAAATCTTGTTCACAATATGAGAAGCTCTGATCTGTCTTTATAGCCAATCGTTACTGATAAACCTGTGGCCTCTGTTTTATATATAGAGAGAGATCATCCTCTTTTAAAGTCATCAAAACACATGGCTGTCAGCATATGCTGCGGGAAGAAATCTCATGTGTTAATTATGCATTGTGTTAATTATCCAGAGTTAGCTATGAACATTCTGACTTGAAAAGAGAGGGGCCAGATTTAGGCTGAGTATCAGGAAAAACTTCCTAACTGTTAGAGCGGTATGACAGTGGGACCCATGATCTCCAAAGTTGGTGAGGGTTCCAATGCTTGGAGGCCTTCAAGAGAAAAATTGGACAACCGTCTGTCTGATCTGCTTTGACTTTGATTCCTTCCTTGAACAGGAGGTTGGACTTGATGGCCTTAAGAGGCCCCCTTCCCACTCCATTATTCTATGATTTTATGAAACCCCCTCTTTTTTGTCCCCCTCACCAAACTCCCATTTTTCCTGGGGTTTCTCATTCTTGGACCCAGGAATTTCCTAGGACTTTGTGTTTCCACCGAACCGTAGATGTGTTTCCATTCACTCTACTGGACAGAGTTGCAAGAGAATGAGGGACTTATCGGGAGACAGAGGAGGAGAGAAAACATGCCCGTCAGTGTAGCTTCATTTGTTTGCCTTTAAATTCCTGGGATGTTTTGCCCGAGCAGAGGCTGCCACGAAACTTACAAGCTGGCAAGAATGGTTTTACTATCTGGCTTGAGGCAATTAATCTCATGTCACCAGAAAAAAAAAGAAGAAAATTTTGGTTTTGTGTCTCTTTTCTGTCTGGTTGATTTGAGATGATTCCCTGGCCACCAGCAGTAAGTTGGTTCAGTTATTTCAACAGACTTCTAAAAGCAGGATTGCACCCATCCTGAAACTAAGGGGCAAATGAATTCTCACATACTTTTCTTACTGGTGCTACTGGGAAGCCAGGACAGAAATTTCTAGCCTGCCTCTCTTGAAGCAATGTATGGTTTTTTAAATAGAAGAAGTCAATCAGGGACAGTTAAAAATATTTGCAGGTCCCTCCTTGAGAAGTTAGAGATGTCAATAAATACCGTATCAATGGGAGTAAAAGGGTAGTACACCGAGATTCAAGCAGATGTACCATGAATTCCTAGGGAACTGAATGTTTGCTAGTGAGGCCTGGAAAATATCTTCAAAAGGATATCATTCAAGGTCAAAGGTGTGCTTGCTTAACCATGGATTGCCCCTAATTAGCAATAAATAGTGTGTGAGATGTAAACAACAACAATTTGATAGATTCATAGTTTTAGAAAAGGTCATTGTATGGCTCTGTGCTGAGTGTATTGGGCAAAACCCGAAAGAAAAATAAAGAAAAAAGACAACGAAAGCATTATGGCATCTTAAAGGCTAACTGCTATACTATTTTAATGCGAGCTTTTGTGGCTGCTTCCTCTAGTCTTCAACTCACTGTAGGTTTTTGTCTTCTTCTCTGGATGTTTTTGCCTAATTTATGCATTATTATTGTGTAAGAACATGCACACACACACACACCTGAGTTTAATAATACTGTTGCTGTTCTTGGAAACGAGAAGAACTGTGTTTAAAAGTTGCCAAGTAATTCTCCTCTGGCGTGAATCATGTGGCTTTATTTCACGGAAAAGGGTTTTATTCCACTCCTTTAAAGAAATGAGAAAGAGGGAAAAAAGAATATCTGGCCTGTTTCTGGGTGTTTTTTTCTTCTTCCCTTTTTTAAAAAGAGTCACCAATGAGTAAGATTTGCCCCAAACCTGTGAAAAAGAGACAGAGGGGGAAAATAATGGATGAACTTGCTAAGACGTGGACTGGAGAAATGCATTCAGATTCCTGCTCAATTAAGAGGCTCATCTTAGGTCCCTGACTAAATATTAGACTCTTGCAGAGTTTTGAATTTCTAGTTAAATTCCTAGTTAAGTTCACAGAGCAGAATTGCTTCACATCCACTCCTTTTCTCATCAACTGGCCACTTACAGTCCCAATAATTCACTCTGAGACATGACTAGGATAAAAAATGAAAACCATTTTTGTTACTTACAATTGAACAGATTAAACAGCGGATGGATAAACATGACTGCCTTTCAGCCACAGAGAGGGGGAAAGGTACAGAGCAGAGAGGCGGGGCTCTCTTTGAATTCAGAGACAGGAATTGGTTAGTGGTGGATAGATTGACAGTCCCTCCAGCCCGGAAAAGTTCCCTCCCAGCCAAACCTACTAAAGGCAGCATGCGAGGTTGCAATAAGTCCAACACTATCACGGAGAAAAGCAGGGGTCACCATGTGGCCACAAAATTTGGTTGGCCTAACAAAGATATTGCTTTAAATCTTATGCCTTGGAATTGATTGCTAAGAGGGGGATTTTTTTTTAAAAAACCCGTGTATGCTTTCTTGAACTCCTTCCCAGAGGATAAATACATGCAATACTGTATTTCTGCTATTTGCTCTCTGCTCTTCTTGTGTTGGTCACAGGCCTTTCCTCTGTGTCTCCGCAGGAGAATTTGGTGCAGTGATGGAAGGGCAGCTCAACCAAGACGGTGCTGTTCTGAAGGTTGCCGTTAAGACCATGAAGAGTAAGTTGCACTAAGGGGAGGCGTTGTTCTCTGATGCTCCGCGCCTTGGCCCAGGGAATTTGAGGTCACAGCTGTCAAACGAGAGAGAGATTGTGGGTGGAGGGCCAAACTGTTCCTATGGATCCTGGGAGGTTTTGAGGCTGGGTTGCCTTCAGTCTACTCTGCACATGCCCAGGAAAAAAAGAGTACCCCTCTGCACATGCCCAGAGGTCCTCTCTTCTCTTCTTCAGCTTGATGTCTTCCAGGGCTCAACATGGGGATTGCAAAGCAGATTTTGGAGCTGAGCCCTAGAGATCCCTTGAAAATGGGGCACATTTGCTGATCCAGCTTGAGAAAGGTTGCTTCTGGGGGGGGGACACGGACTTTTCCAGAGGAAGGGAGAATTTCTCCCAGTCATGGTCAACAGTGCCACGTGCAAAGAGATCTGACTTGCCTCCTACAGTCGCTTCAACCTGACAGCCACTGCCAGGCGTAAGGGTGCAGTTGGTGGCTGAGCCCTCTGCACATACACAGAGGCACTCTTATCCCATGTTGTGATGTCCCGAGTCATTCTGACTAATATTTGCGGTTGGTGCCCTAGTGTCTATGGGTCCTGGTTCACTCACACACACACCCCTCCTTTCTTTGCAGTTGCCATCTGCACCCACAGTGAGATGGAGGACTTCCTCAGCGAGGCCGTCTGCATGAAAGACTTTGACCATCCCAATGTCATGAAGCTCATCGGTAAGAGGAAGGCGAGAGAGAGAGAGAGAGAGAGAGAGACTGTGTGTATGGGTGCACTTCTGAATAGAGATCAGCACGAACCACACGTTTCGGTGGTTTGCACTGATTCAAACGCCAGCCGACCTGAGTGTCCCATGGTTCGGTGCACCCACTCCGAGGCAGTGCCCAGAGGAGGCTGGGCGGGGAAGCCAGGCTGCTGCTGCTGAGTAGGTGCCTGTGGGAGGAGGTGGGGCATCAAGCCACAGAATGCCTGTCCTGCCATTGTCCGAACCGGCACGAACTCCCGAACCGGTGGTTCAGGCTCATCTTTACTTCTGAATCGTCTTTCAGCTGAATTCCAGAATCCGTGAGGTTGGGGACGGTACCTTTATTAGACACTGTAAATGCACCAAATCTGCAAGCGATTGATTGATTGATTGATTGATTGATTGGTTGGTTGGTTGGTTGGTTGGTTGGTTGGTTGGTTGGTTGGTTGGTTGGTTGGTTGGTTGGTTGGTTGGTTGGTTGGTTGGTTGGTTGGTTGGTTGGTTGGTTGGTTGGTTGGTTGGTTGGTTGGTTGGTTGGTTGGTTGGTTGGTTGGTTGGTTGGTTGGTTGGTTGGTTGGTTGGTTGGTTGGTTGGTTGATTGATTGATTGATTGATTGATTGACTGACTGATTGACTGATTGACTGATTGACTGAGTTTTAAATGAGTTTTACGGATAGAACCCTTCATCATTCTAAAAATTTGGGGAAGGAAGTACAGAAGTCCAAAGACATGGCTAGGGATTTTAAGGGGCAAAAATGTTCCCGATTGGAAAGTGTGGCTTGATGGGGTCAGGAGGTCGTGCAGGTAGCCCTTGGCCTCTGGCAAAGCTCACCTGGCAAAGGGAGAAGCAGGAGACAGGTACCCCATCTCCGAAAAGGGCCATTCTAACGTGCATTTTTCACTAGCCCTCACGCGGTCATCTCACGGCAGAGGTTAATTCCAGGTGGACGTTTTCATCCCTGCCTGGGGTTCCCCTCTCTTCCCTTCCTCTCTTCCTCCTGCCTTCTGGTAATCCTCGGTTCATCATCTTGGGCTTCAGTCTTTCTCTAACTTTGGTGCCCGGCATGGGTGAGTCAAGGGAGCCGGGTGAATCAAGCGCACCCTCGCGTC